CCAGCTGTCTATACACCCCAGCTGTGTATACACTCCAGCTGCCTGTACACCCCAGCTGTCTATATACACCCCAGCTGCATATACACCCCAGCTGCATGTACACCCCAGCTGTGCGTTTTTGTCGCCTATAGCCGCAGGAGAAGCAGCGAACGCCCGCAATAAGCAGCAGCAGCAGCAGCAGCAACAGCAACAGCAGCAGCAGCAGCAACAGCAGCAGCAGCAGCAGCAGCAGCAGCAGCACCCGCGGGTAGTCGTAGCCGGTGCGGAGACAGCGCAGAGACAAATTCAGGTCGCAGCGGAGACACCCCGAGGCCATCAACCCCACACAAATACCTATACACACAAAAAAAAATAAATAAATAAATATATAAATTTATAAATAAATATATAAATAAATTAATAAAAAGAAACAAACAAATAAATATATAAAAGGAAAGAAAAGACGAAAAAATAAATAAATAAATAGAGACAACTGCATAGACAAAAAAACAAAAGGAGACAAATAAAATAAAAAATAAATAAATACAAATAAATAAATAAATAAATTAAATAAATAAAACGAAATAAATAAATAAAAGGATATAAATACATAAATAACAAACGCAATGAAAAGAAAAATAATTAAACAAATAAAGAAAGAGAGACAAATAACTATATAAACAGGAAACCAGAAAAGGAGACAAATAAAAAGGAGACAAAAAAAAAACAAAAATAAAAGACAGACGGAGACAGCTACAAAAGGAGACAAAAGCAAAACAACAACACAAAAACAAAAAAATAAAAAGGAGACAAAAAAAAAAATAAAAAAGGAGACAAAAAAAAAATAAAAAAAAAAAAGGAGACAGATGAAGGCTACCTGCGTTGCGGAGATCTGTAAACAACTCGTACACAAATGCAGCAGCCTCAGCGCCAGTGAGAGGTGCAGCCTGACAGCAGCAGCAGCAGCAGCAGCAGCAGCAGCAGCAGCAGCAGCAGCAGCAACAGCAGCAGGAGTAGCAGCAATAGGAGTAGCAGCAGTAGCAGTAGCAGCAGCAGCAGCAGAAGCAGCAGCAGCAGCAGCCAAAAGCAGATAGAAGAGAAGTATATACATATAACTATACATATAATATTATATATATATATATACATATA